TTTCATACTTATACCTTTAAGAGGTACTTTATTTTAGGCCTTTTATATAGATACGCACATGTTTTATACTCCTATTTTCTATATGTACTTAGTTTTATATTTGTCTAAGCCTTTATATAGGTACAACTTACTTCACAATCATACCTTTTTAGGTACTTTGTTTTACATTCGTTTTCCATCATCTCCACCTTACAGATACAGATACTAAAACTTATTTATACTATTGGATATACAGGGTGTTTCAAAAAGGTATGTCATAAATTCATCCTCAGATAGATTACCAAAAAATAAGTGGATTTGGCTATATTGGCCAAAAACTGGTTCCCAACAAAGTTACAGGGTGTTAAACTAACTTTCAGAAAAAAGTTTTTTTTCTGTAAAAAGTTTTCTGTTGCGATTTTTTGCGATTTTTTCTTCGAAATTTTTGCCAGTATTGTAGATTTGAAGGCCCAATATTCTAAGGAGAAAAAAAAATTTAAAGCAACCCCTTCAAAAAAATTTGGGGGGTTGGGTACCTTTTAACCCCCCGTATTTTTTTTGACATAAAGAAACTTGCTTTATCGATCCTAAAATCAAAAAACTATGAATTTGTAATTTTTTTTTATAGCGAATTAAACTTCTTTATAGTTAACGAGCTATTTATAATTTTTTAACTGAATTTCTAGAGCAATTCGTCTGTCCTGGACTTAACATATCAACAAAACTAATAGTAGGTCAGGACTTATTGTACAAGAACGTATATAAAAATCTGATGTGTCCAACACATGACTTTCCTATCTAGTTATTATAGGCTTTTTCCGGTTATTTTGTACAACCTATTGCAGCACCTCTATAAATGTTTAGAGGATAAACTAAATATATACATTTTCCACATACATCTCCTCGAAACATTTTTCTATAGATATTCATTGAAAACGAAAATACTGAAAAATTTAAATTTAGCACTTTTCCTGCAATTTTTCCATTTTAGAAAAATCATGTAAAAAAAATTATAGAGATCGATATCGCAAACAACTTTTAGTTCAACAATTTTCATAAAAATCAGAATTTTACACATTTTGTCAAATTTATCGAATACGGACCATTTCAGGAAATTTTGACATAAGACAAAAATTATAGATAATAATATTAGGAGAAACTTTTATTTGAACAATTTTCTTCTTCAAACATAAATAACAGATATATTCCATAAAATTTGTCCAAAATTTTATCATTTCACGTCAGGCCGAAATAAACCTTAAGTTTAAAATTGAATGTTTTTTTCTTTATCCGTTTTTGAGTTTTCTTCAAAATTCGAAATTTACACATTTTCTCAAATATCTCGAATACGGTCTATTTAGAGAAATTATGTATAGAATAAAAATTATACAGAATTATATTACAAACAACTTTTATTTAAACAATTTTTATAAAAAATTATTTTTTTACATTTTGTCAAATTTCTCGAATACGGGCTATTTTAGGAAAATTTTGTTTAGAACAAAAAGTATAGATAATAATATTAGAAGTAACTTTTATTTGAAGAATTTTCTTCTCCAAACGTAAATAACAGATATATTCCATAAAATATAAAAATGACCACGCATAAAGTACCCCCAGATGTTCCGACTCGGCAGAGTCTAATCAGTTCATTAGACGCTGGAATAAAGCTTAAGTTTAAAATTTGGTGTTTTTCTGTGTATCGGTTCATGAGTTATGCGACACACACACAGACATCATCGGCGAAAATAGTCAAAACGGATTCAGGGGACCTCAAAACGTAAAAATCCGTCGAAAACTCGAGGTCGAAAAAAATCATGATTCCTATACTTTCCTTATATCTGTATACAGATAGGAAAGTAAAAATCAATGATGTGACTAGGGCTGTGCTTGAGCCGCCCCGGCAAAACTACCTCTTTATTTATATTTTTGTAAAAAAGATATTTATATTGGATTGGCGCCATAAAAATGATGTGTCATCCGTCCTCATGTGTTCACCATGCCACTGATAAAAATACACGTTAGTTGGGAAATGTATTTATTAAATTTAATAGTAAATAAAAAAATTATTTTTTTAATTAAACAATTAACAAAAAATTAACAATTAAAAATAAACATTTGGTAATAATTATTATACATATTTTATAAACTACTTAATTTAGTAAATATTCAACATGTCCTCCTCCTTCTTGAATGCAAAAATTGTAAAAAATTGTAAATAGCTCGTTAAATAAGAAAGATACAAAGTTCATTTCTCTATAAGAAAAAATTAAAAATTCATAGTTCTTTTTGATTTTAAGATCGATAAAGTTTTTTTATGTCAAAAAAAATACGGAGGGGGGTTAAAAGGTACCAAACCCCCCCAACATTTTTTAAAGAGGTCGCTTTAATTTTTTTTTTCTCCTTAGAATATTGGAACTTCAAATCTACAGCACTTGCAAAAATTTCGAAGAAAAAATCGCAACAGAAAACTTTTTTTATAAAAAAAAAAAACGTTTTTCTGAATGTTACTTTAACACCCTGTAACTTTGTTGGCAGCCAGTTTTTGATATAGGTAAATATAGCCAAATACACTTATTTTTTGGTAATCTATCTGAGGATGAATTTATGACATACCTTTTTGAAACACCCTGTATAATTACCTTTTAAATGAATCACATTTCTATTTTAAAAAATAATAGCACACTCACATAGATGAGGTCACGAATACAAGGAACGCCCATTTTAAAATAAATATTAACGGGTTTCAGGATTATTTCCAGTTGTCAACGAATTTATTCCATTTATTTTCACCATACTGTATATTTATTTAAGGGTTACCTGTCAGTTTTGTAAACAATTAAGTGTGAGAATATCAATAAAGTATTTATCAATTTATTATATGTTAAAGTAAAATAAATATTTAACTTCGTATTTAAATTAATATGGCGTGTAATCGAAAATTTACATATCAGAACACTTATTTATTGAAAGGAAGAATTCTAAAACACTTGTTCTTATTTTTCTATTAAAATTAACCAGTCTTAACAATTCAGTATAACTAATTGCGCCATTAATTAGATTATGAAGAAAAAAAAGAGATATTTATATTATGCAGTGTTCCAAAGGATTGAGATTAAATATTAATAAGATAAATCTAATTAGTAATTCTATGAAAGGTAAATTTATGCCAGCTTTAGAAAGTTAACATTTCACCATCAAATAAGAATATACATTTTTAAGCATTAATAATAGCAACAATCCAATATAATTTTATGCTAAAAAAAGTAGTCACGAATAACCAAGATTTGTGTAAAACTGAGAGAGCTAACTCTGAAGGTAGTATAGGAAATACCCAAGCAATACACAATATGATTTTCAGGAATGCAATAAAAACGCATTTTAATATTGTGCTGTGTCGCCTTTTCTTTATTCATATGAAAATTTTTGTATTCGTTTATGATATAAAAAAAAACGAGGTCTTAAAGATAAAAATCACTAAAAATTCGACCAAGTTCTGTACAGAATGGATTAGAACTTTAATATTGGCGTGATCATGCAGTTTTTTCATGTTTTTTTGCGATGGTTGTTTTCTCTTCTTCGACTCTAGCCATTCTCATAAATCTGTAAGGGTCTGAGTTCCTTACATACTACACGGGGCGTTTACTACTGCCCTTAATTTTTGTTCTGGAATCGTATTATATTTATGTTATTTTGCCAGTACTTGTTTATATATTAAAAGTTTATTTTCCATTGAATATGATTTTCTATATTTAATAGCCTTTTCTTTATGTGTTCTTTCCACTTTAATTTTATATCTGGGTTCATGCCTAAGTATTTTGCCGAATTGAAATATTTGGGATTCTAATATTATTCAATATTACTGGTAGGTCTTCTACTGCTCTTTCGTTACTAAAGTTAACCGGAACTGGTTTAGTTTCGTTAAGCGTGCGCTATCTTTATGTCCACTCGTAGATTTTATTGGTTGCCTGTTGAAGTTTTCTGGTCAATTCTTCTATAGTTTTACCGGTGGCAAGTATGGCTGTGTCGTTTGTGCGTTTGTGGTATGTCGGAAATAAACAGAAGGTAAATAACTGGTATATGGAAAATTCATTTTCCTTTTGCAGAAAAAGTTGTTTTTTTAATCTCTCGTTTATGGCATTTTACCACATTAACATATATAACAATACGAAAGTGAAATACCAAAGCCATAAGGTTTGCACGTACTTAAAGGGTTTAAATAAGGGCGCGATCTTGTAAAAGAATACTCGGTTGCTGATGCATCTTCTCGCTTATGGCAATCGACAGAATCAAATTTGATATCGTTAGGAACCTAAAAAAAATATCCCATAAGCCGGTCAGCTGTTGAGGTAAATTTTCCGGCCGGAAAATTTTGTGAATTTTTTTATGGCATTTGAACCATATGATTTTGATGATGGATAAACATATAAGCGAGAAAATGCTTTAGCAGCCGAGTATTCTTTTACAAGATCGCGGTCATATTTAAGTACGTGCAAACCTTATGGGTTTATGGGTTAGATTATTAATATTACTGTGTTAAAATGCCATAAACGAGAGAATAAACAAAAACCTATTTTTTCTGCAAAAAGAAAATGAATTTTTTATATGCTTAGCACACGTCCGGTCACTTAATTTTAATTTTTTGAGCTTAACACTTACACAATTTTCAGTGGTAAAGAGAAAATGAGTCAGCAAAATCTGTCATGAAGCAGATGTAAAAATAAATGATTGGTTTATTGATATTAAATAAAATGAGAAAAATTAATAGCATCAGCAGAAACTTTAAAACAATGCCTCTGACATATTTGAAAGAAATGACAAAGTTTCCATAAAAGTTAATAAAAAAGGATTTTTACATGAAATTTCTATTACCAGATCAGGTGGGACTTAGGCACTTATGAATACTTTGTATATTTAACAAATTATTTAAAATAAATAAAAGTTTAGTAAGGAAACCATTTTAGTTGTAGTGATTTTATGTAAAGCCAGAAAAGTATTAAGTTTCGTATTTCATTTTCTAGATTTTGGAAGAATTCAGAAATTCAGAAGCAGGTCGGCAACATCGCCTGGTAAAACTGCTATCGAAGAGTTCAATGAAATAATTATGTTGTTATAAAAATATGTTAAGAAATTAATGTATTTTCGTGCAATGTTTTTTTAATAATGTTTATTTATTTACTATGTTCAGTTCTTTATTTCGAGATTAAGTTGAATTATGTTCGAATTTTTTAATGAAATAAAAAGTCAAATAGTTGGACGCACAAATAGCAATTTTTAAAGAGAATTTTAGGAATTGTTACAAACATTTTATCTGCGTTATGTTTTTAAAACAAATTATAGAGGTAAAACACATTTACACTTTTTAAAGTTGAGGTTTATGTGTATCAGAAGAAAAAATTAAGTCAAATATTTAAAAAGATATCTTCCTATAGTTTTTTTCAGTTTTATTAGCCTGTGTAACATCACTATGTTATACAGGGTGTGCCAGAATATGTAAGAAATTCCCGGATTCAGATTTAGAATTTTAAATAAAAATTTTCTTGGTTTCTTCAGTCAAATGATTTTTTTATAATTTAAGCACTACATATTTTTTGAAAAATACAATTTTTCCATCTTCTGGTGCATTCAATGACTGAAAATTATTAAAAAAAAAAAAAGCTATTCAAGTGTGTTCGTTACACACCAAAAACGATGAAAAGAACCATATACATTTTTTAAATCTATTAAAAAAAGTTATTGAATAGGTCTCAAAAAATAAGAAATTAAAATGGTTGTTTCTTGAAAATGTGTGAGAGTACTTTTGGTTTTTAATTTCTTCCTATGGTCCACATAAACTTTAACAAATAGAATCAATAATATTTTAAATAATAAATATTTATATCTAGTCCACTGTTGAAGATAATCACTTAATAGTATCATATATTACATTAACGTTTTTTTTTTGTGCACGTATTATGATTTTCTTTTCCATAGAAAAAACGATTTTGGATATCCAGAGTGGTAGGTTGTGAATTATTTATTTTTCTAAACAATTGAAAAATTCCTTTTGTTTTATTTCGATGTGATGTATCTGTAGTTTGTATCAATAATAAAATTATATATATTTTTATTTATTTTAACTATATATATGATCTATATATTCCTTATATTTTGTACTCAATAAATTTGATCAAAAAACCACTGAGTTTCTTTTTCTACTAGAGTAGATTGAAAATAGTTGCCAAAATCTGTATGGTGTTATGGTTATGAGTAAGAGCTGGCAAATAATCGATTATTTTCGATTAGTCGATTATTTTCGTAATAATCTGATGTTTTAATCGAATAATTTACTTTAAATAAAATAAAAAATTAATTTTCTTTCAATTTAATAAAAAATAATCGATTATGTCGATTAATTGTCTATTTCAATTAATCGAATCTTTCGATTATTTCGATAAATCGATTATTTCTATTAATCGAATATTTCCATAAATCGATTATTTCTATTAATCGAATCTTTCGATTATTTCGATAAATCGATTATTTCTATTAATCGAATATTTCCATAAATCGATTATTTCTATTAATCGATTATTTCGATTATTTCGATTAAACTATTATTTATTTTTATAATCGCCCTGCCCTATAGTCTATTTTTATGTATGAGAGAGTAATAAAACAGCATTTCTAATGCTAATACGGTCATTTTAAATATTTTTACAAAATAATCTAAATATTTCCTAAAATTGTAATAAGTGTACCTGAGCTATTACAAGTTTTGGGTCTTTTATTGGTCCTTTATAAACATAAGCTGTACAGAACAATAGAAAAAGGTTTGGACAGGCCAAAAGCCCTGTGTATTAAAGATTACATAGCCGTATCTTAACATTATTTTCAATAAGTACCTATTTGCCAATTTTGTTTTATTTTAATTCCAAGAATTTCTTACAGTAATCGAATTATAAGTAGATAAATACCTTCCCAACAAATTTCACCGAAAATGCGATTATAGGTTTTCCATTTAGTAAGGAGGTCCAAGTTGTGTATTCTTGACAGTTTACTAAATGTCGTTTAGTTGCAAGGTGCAGTGTGAATTCTAGTGTGATCATGGAAAATTTGGAAGAGCCGCGTAAACGACAAAAAAATCGGTCCTTTAACAGTTAATGAAAAAACATTAATATTTAATTGTTTAAAATCATTTACAGACAAACATTTATGTAAAAGTGTTGATGACACAGTGGAATTAGTTAGTAGTACGCTTGGTGTTGGAAAATATACGATTTACAGAGTTGTTAAAGAAGAGAAATGTGGCGAGTTTCAAACAGCACGTAAAGCTCCAGGAAAACCAACATTTCAATTAGAAAATCTTTTGAAAGAAAGACTTCGAAGGAAAGTGCATGCGTTCTTCTTTAGAAAAGAATTTCCGACAGTAGACAAAGTTCTTGCCACGGTTCGAGATGATAAGGATTACCCTGAAATGAGTCGAAGCAGACTATGGAAACTGAGAAACCAAAGAAGAAATATATTTTATTTAGATGAAACATGGATCAACGAGGGACATAAATCAAATAAATTTTGGCAAGATGAAACTGTTACAAGTCGAAGACAGGCTTTTTTAAATAATTTATCTACTCGTTTAAATCCACCATCAGGCAAGGGGCGCAGACTAATAATAGTACACATCGGTAGTTCAAACGGTTTTGTTAAAGGTGGTTTATTGACTTTTGAATCTACTCGTACCGGTGACTACCATGAGGACATGAATGCTGATGTCTTTAAAGAGTGGTTTGAACAAATTATAGATCTTCTTCCTCAGAACTGTATAATAGTAATGGATAATGCAAGTTATCACTCGAGACTTATAGAAAAATGCCCACAACCAAGTTCTGTGAGAAAAGAACTGTATCATTTGTGTTCCCTTCATAAAGACAAATTCAAAAAATATGAAATTGATGAAATTGCACAAAATCGTGGAATGACGGTGGTTAGATCACCACCATATCATTGCGAAGTAAACCCGATTGAACTGATATGGGCACATTTCAAGAAAAAACAATTCTTTTAAAATGAGTGATGTTAAACAGTTGTTTTTGGAGGCTGTAAATAATGTGAAGCCTGAAAACTGGGAAAAGGCAGTAAATCATACGATTAAAGAAGAAGAGAAAATGTGGAAGTTCGACAATATTACTGATGAAATGATCGAGCCACTCATTGTAAATATTGGTTGTGACAGTTCATCTTCTGATTTCGATTCTGATTTGGATTTGTAGGTAAGAATTAGTTTTTATATTAAAATTATTATTTATGAACGTAACGTTGTTTAAAAGTCAAAGTTTAAACCCTTATACCTACATAACCCGTTTGACACAATGTTCTTAACATACCTTGTGGAAAAATAAAACATTTTAAAAAAAAATTGCACTTTTTTACCTTCAGCTGTTTAGAAGTTATAAGCAGGTTTATTAGGTGAAAATATAAGTTTATACTCGAGGAATAACTTCAAAAAATATTTTAACTGTCTACTAAAAGAAGTAGTACGCCTATGGATTACGAACGCTTCATTATTTTAATACTCTCTCATACATAAAAATAGACATTAGTTATGAGTCACGACAGCGGTTTAAGGTCTGATTTTTATTTGCCTCGACTCTGTCCGTACTGTGCTCCTGTCATGTCATGTTTCATCCCATTTAGCACATAAGCAGAGATTAGGGACAAAGATAGAAAACCCATCAATGGCGTCATCTATGCGTCTCAGATGTTAATTAAAGGTACACGTCATTTGTAGACAGACAGTAGACGTGGACAGTTTGTAAATATAAACGTCAATTAGTTGTATGTTTATCGTAGAATTCCGAATTTAAATTTAAAATTTTGAGTTCATAATTGTGTTATCCTCTGGATCTACATGAACTAAGCGAAATGGTTGTGGTTGTTTTTGTGTGAAATTTGAGGACAATAAGTATATTTTTTAATATTACACTAAGTCGGAGCACGTATTGCATTAGTAACACATGCCACATTAATAATTTTAACAATCCCAATGTGGCGTTCTTTAATTTACCAAAGTAAGATCTAACGATGTAAGTAACACAAACAGTAGCCAACTTTTCTCAAAAAATAGGTATTTATTTATTGTTTTAGAACAAGAAAATGGCTTCAGAACGTTGAAGAGATTTGATATAAAAAAAAAAAAAATAACTGAATTCACATTATTGAGTTTGCACTCAACATTTTTAATTTAGACACCGTTGGCCATTTGTTTGGAAAATAAGAACAAAAATGTGAAATTTATAAGAACGGTCAAAAATTAAGAAATGTTTCTCACGAATAGATTTACAATAATTAATCGATAATAGACTGTAAGAGTAGTATTCTTTTTAATAAATAATTTAGCGTAATTACATTGTTTAAATTTATTTATCAGAACTTAAGAGTGTAATCGATATTTATACAACCTTTATTATCAGGTTCCCGCTGCGTTATTTGTTTGATATCGATGAAAGCGCCACATAGTGCGTCAGATGTTAACTAGATTTGTCTGAAGAGCTTAGTTAATACTGATTTTTCCTAGGAAGATCGAGTTTTAACTGAAATCAGGTTTTTACGGTAACAATTACAATTAATTGACATAAATAAAAAAAAATTGTGGTAAGTTCTTGGGATTTTAGGTGCCTGTGTATATTCGGATGGTTTTCAAATGAAATTCATAAGTTAGAGCTTTCGGCACTAATCAGCACGTTCTTCAGTATGGTGTTTATTACTTTATATTATTTTTTTTCTTTGCACATTGTTATATTTGTTTGTTAGTTTCTAGTTCTGTTTTAAATTTTCTTTTTTTATTTTAGATTAAGTTATTATAATATAATAATAATGTGACTTCATACTGAAATAATAAACAATTACTACGTTGTTTTTGGTTGATCTTGAGGGGAACTACTCTTTACCCGCAATTTAAACTATTTATTTTTTGTTTGTGATTTTTCGAGTTAATGTTTTGTTTGTTGTACATGTCTTGAGTTGTAGGAATCTTTTCCTATAGGAATTTTTGACATTTTCCTATGTATAGGAAAATCATTACATTTTCTTACAATACAGTGCTAGGTAGTACATGTGTTACATTTAAAATCAAGTTTGAACAATCTATTTAAAAAATATGTATTTATTTAAAGAACAAAATAGTAGTTAAATGTTTAAGGTTCACAGTGACTGATTGATTTTTTAACTAAAAAAAATATGTTTTCATAATTTTTTTCAAAAGAGCATTTTTATTTTACAATTTTCTTACAAAAGGATACTTTTTTTACCAGATTAGGTACTTTTAATTTACTGTTGTTCATTTTACATTTATTTTATTTTCCAGTTTAAATACGTTTTGTTCACGAAAAAACTACTTTGTCAATACTGTCAATCGCGCGACAAGTGACAAGTGACATTTTACAAAAAAAAAGATCCATAGGGACCGTGTGTGAAATATAGAGGCGGCACTACTGCCGAAGTTAGCCCTCTCTAGTGTTTAATTTTAGAATTAAATGGGGTAAACATTGCAAGTAAATAATAGAGGATATTTTTTAAAATATTAAATATAGTTAAAAATAGATACCGGCCCGTACCAAACAATCGTGTACATGGTCAAAATGAAATGAAAATTTGAAACATTATTAAAATCTGGACATGTATATACATTTTAAGCAAAAAGATTTAAATGGCTAAGTGACAATAAATTGTAAAGTTGTACCTTTAAACAAGTGTATCCAATGTCAAAATATCGGTATTTAGTAACACTGAATATAAAAGTATTACAATAACATTTAAAAAATGTAAATTAATAAAAAAGATTGATGGTAATAATAATAAATCTTTTTAACTTTGTTAGTCGAAATGTCATTCATCCACTGACGTTTATGAGATGTCCAATGATACATATTATAGATTGCTCACCCATCTATAAAAAAAATATGAAAAGCGGGTTGCAATGTGCTCACTAAATAGAGCCGTTCTAGCCCAAATGTGTTTTAAAATAAAATTTCAGCATTTTAATCTTTAGAAAAAGAAAATAATTAAAGTGTTACTTCAAGACATGTTATTATGTATTTGGAAAGTTGAGTTTCCATGTAGTTAAATAATATTAAGAGATCTAGGGTGAGATTACAGAACGTTGCAGATCTGCAACTTTGCAGATCTGCAAA